ACATGAGGATGTCATTGGGCAAATGAGTATAGAGCTAAAACTGATGTAGAAGGCCAGCCCATTTCGGGGAACTTCCAGCAGGCCCTGCTTCGGCCCTGCCAAACAGTGGGGGCACTTTCCCTAATTCTCCCCACCCCATCCTCCAACACCAAGCACGTTTTTGACCTCGGTGAACGACAAAAGACAGCTGATGATTGGACCTCAATTCCTCCACCAGATTCATACTCACTCCTGAAATGGGACCGCAAGTCATTCCTACTAGAGTCTATGGGCCTTGGCCTCATGGAACCGTGGGTCTCCTGCTAGGCTGCAGCAGTCTCACTTTAAAAGGTCTCCAGGTATTGCCTGGTATCATCCACACTGATTATACAGGGGAAATTAAGGTTATTGTTCAATCTATTAAAAACACTGTTCAAGTCACGCCAGACTCTCATATCACTCAAATGGTCATTGGAAAATCTGTAAGTAAGGAAAGAGGATTCAAGGGTTTTGGGTCCTCGGACATGTATTGGGTTCAACAGATTAAACAAGATCATCCCGAAATGGAATTGATTACTGAAGGAAAGACTTTTAAAGGGCTTTTAGACACAGGGACAGATGTTTCAGTTACTGCCCAACCCCACTGGCCTATAGCACGGCCTGTGGATGTGGCAACTGCAGATCTACAGAGGGTGGGCAGTGTTTCTTACCCTCGTAGAAGTGCTAAATTATTAACTTGGAGGGATGCAGAAGGCCATTCTGGAAATTTCTTACCTTATGTCCTCCCCCATATACCAGTCAACCTGTGGGGTCATGACATATTACAGGATATTGGAGCATTTTTGGTTAGCCCAAACTCCTTGACAACTCATCAGATGTTACAACAAGGCGTTCTCCCCACCCAAGGGCTTGGTAAATATAATCAGGAAAGGAGAAAAACCCTTCCAGTAGATCCTAGGAAGGACCGTTTAGCATAGAATACTCATCCTCCTATTTTCAGGAGGAGAGGATGATCACTTCTCTGACCCCATGGACGATGTCCAACATAACCTCGATATCCAATGACCCTGTTTGGGTTTATCAATGGCCCCTCACTAAAGAGAAGCTTACAGCAGCTCATACACTGATTAGTGAACAAATGATGGCAGGACACCTAGAATCCTTCAATAGCCCTTGGAATAGCCCAGTTTTTGTAATAAAAAGTTAGGAAGCTGGAGATTACTACAGGATTTTCAAGCTGTTGATCGCACCATGGAACCTATGAGAGTACTTCAAGCAGGATTGCCCAGTCCCATAGCTATCCCTTTACATTTTTCCCTTCATGGTGATTGCTTTAAAAGACTGTTGGCTTTTTTTTTTTTTTTTAACTATCCCTCTCCATCCTTAAGATAAAAAAGCATTCTAACTTTAGTTTACCCTCAATTAATCATTACGCCCCTATGCACCACTTCCAATGGTGGCGTCTGCAAAAAGGAATGGCAAACAGACCAACCCTATGACAAGAGTTTGTGGCTGCAGCCATTTACTCAGGCTCATCCATCTGCTTATCTTATCCATAACATGGACGATATTCTTGTAGCACATGAATCCTCATCCTCCTTGCCCCAAATGTTTATTCAATTAGATAATGCCCTTTTTAAAGCAGGCCTAGTGGTGGCCCCCAAAAAGGTGCAAACCATGGCACCTTTTTCATATTTGGGTGTTTTGGTTTGGGGGTTACTGTGCAAGGTAAAACAATATAATACAGGACACATATCTTATATGATTATTTATAATAATCACCCAAAGAATGATATATGAGAGACTGCAGGAAATCTGTCCACACAACATAGACCAAGAATCTAGCTGAGGGCCTGGATCCTGCGATAATGTCCTACATGAGTCCAATTTAAGACCTAGAGCTCAACAATGCTTCCTACAAATCCAACTGGAAGCCCAGAACCCATAATAATATCTCATGCAGGCCTGTATCACAGATCTGTGCTGGGAAGGCCCAAAGGTCAGTGGTGGAATCTAGAAAGTCTATGCTAGCAGGATGAAGGATCTGTGCTAGCAAGCTGAGGGATCTTCACTGGAGACAGGAAGCGATGCTCACAAGAACCAGAGCACCCCTGAAAGGTACCACAGCCATCCTCAGCAACAGTGAGGCCCCGACCTCCTCCAATGATCAAGATGGTCAAGTTCCCATCAGGGAAGCCAATGCAGCAAGATTCTCCAGGAGACTGGCAATGCACCATCTTCCCCTCCAGAGCCAGGAAGTGATGCCCAGAGTGAGGACCAGAGCTCCCCCAAAGTGAACTGAAGGTATTCTCAGTACCAACGAGGTCCCAAGCTCCTCAGAGGATAAAAACAGCCAAGTTCATCAGGAAAGCCAGCATGACGAGCTCCTCCAAAACAACCAATAGCTCCTTACAGCTTCTACCAGCTCCCAACAGCCTTTCTCCACTTCTCCAGTTCTGCCTCTTATGCTGCTGGCAACAATCCTCAGGTGGGCCTCCCACAACCAGCACCAAGCTTACTTAGTTCAGCTGGGGGTTATAAATTGACCACCAGCTGTCAATCTACCACAGCCTCCCACACCCAGCACCATGCTTACTCAGTTCAGCTGGGGGTTATAAGTTGACCACCAGTTATCAATCTACTACACTGGGTCACTTTATCAAACAAGACATACTGTGCCCCAAACTGTTCAGATCCAGGCTAATCATCTTACAACCCTGGTTTTCAGACTCTACTTGGTAATCCTTATGCAAACAATTCCATTTAACCCAAGAACAGGCTCGACAAATTGTTAAGCAATATTACTCATGTGTAATACACTTTCCCT